GTATTACAGAAAATCATTTACTGCTTGAATAACTCAATGGCACTATCCTAAGCTATGAAAATGAATAACTTCAGATCAAATTTCACAGAGAATATCAATTTCCTCAAGATAACAGATAGATTTTGTCGATAAGTTCAAACTTGCACGAAATCTATATTCAGGGTTTTCTGTTGAAAGAGAGTTATGAATTAGTATGAGGAATCAGGATTAAGATTTAAAGTTAGAATTAAATGTCATAAATTAGAATTATGGTTTTCATCATCAATTGAGTCGGCTTCCGAGAAATACAACGAAGCCTCCAAAGGTCCTAAAGGAGCCGAAGGGTCTTCAGTCGATCAAATCATGATAGAGTTTTCTGCTATTGAACAGTAGCATAATATGTCTCTTTGCGGATTGGCCGAAATATAATGTTCATTCAAAAAATGCTAATATCTATAAATACCCGTGATTTTGTGTACATTTTGATTCTTACGAAGTAGACACTTCTCCAGTTTTTATTCTGTTTTCCGATTTGTGACGATAAAGTTCTAACGTTTGAGTATCGTAGTCGTAAACCGTATTCTGCATTAATCAAGTAGTGAATCTAACACAAGTTATGCATGAATGAATTTCATGACAAAATTCAAAACTTTCTATCTTTCATTGTATTGATTCATCTATAAATTATACGTCTGTTCATTAAATTTACCTGAATTACAAGAAATCAATCTGATTAACAGATACTTAACTCACTAAACAAAGATAACAGATACACGACAAAGCTCTAGTGAATTGATCACTGGGTGGTGATCAATGCCATGTGTTTCAAATCCTTATTAGTGCAGATCGAATGCTATCGACTATGTTGCAATGTGGCCACCAGTCTAGGTGACTCGACACTGCGTGCACTATGTTGAGACCAAATGGTGGTTGTAGGTAGTTGACAGTGGTAACATCTCTGAGTGTGAAGCTTGGTGACATGGGATCGAATCCGTCAGGGAACATCAGTTACCTCAAGATTACAGGTACACCTTGTTGACAAGTACCAAGTAACACGAAACCCGGGTCTAGGGTTTCCTGTCGACTACCTCTAACCATCATCTAATCTCTAATGAATTGGATATATTCATATCTTTGTAAATATTTACGTCATGGGGTAATAGTAATTGATTTTCCGCAGTAAAATTACCATAATAAAATAAATGATATACAATAATACATCTACCTAAATTCATTTGATATTGTTTACTTGTATCTTCCTATTGATGTTTAGAATGACAATTTATCAGTCTCTTATTGGCATATATGCATATCTGTACGTATTACAAGCATAGGATGCAGGTACATGCAACTGATGAGTCTGAAAATGGGAAGAAACGTGCATCAGACCAGATTCCTTTGCTAGCCACTACCTATCTTTGCTTATAATACATCTATCGGTAGAAAAAGTTATTCTTTGATATTTAACCTACCCAAGATAAGTTATAATGAAATGATTAATAACTATGGCACGAACAACTCTATCATAATAATAATAATTTATTCATATAACTGTATACTATAATCAATAAAATGGTATTATCATTTTTCTTCGGGTCACATGGTATTTGTAAATTATCGGATCAAAATAAATGGATCAATTTTTTTTGGTTGTTGTTGTATGGTGATAGATCATTTGACCTAATCGCTTTTCACTATATGTCTACAATTTTTTAATACTGTACAATACATTTTAAAATATTCAATGTTAATCACTTCTCCTTCTGTGTCTAACCTCAAAGCTAATTAATCAATAGTTCTAGTGAGAAGTCGTGACCAATAGAGTTAATCTATATCAAGTAGAGACAAATATCTACCTCAGTGAAATGGAAGATAGTCGCACGATTTCATGGATTGGTTAAGGTCAAACATGAACACTGTTGGATGTCGGCTCTTTGGTTTAAAGGTTAATCGATCGTGTGTGAGACCAACAGCTCCTGGGTTCGAATCCCGTGAGCGGGATCGTGGATGCGCACTACTGAGGAGTCCTATTTTAGGTCAAAACGGCCATCCAGTGCTTCCAGGTTTTCAACTTTGGTCTAATACTAATCGATTTATTATCTCAATCAGAAAGTAATCTTAGCTATCAAATGACCTAATTTGATCATTGTACTTACGACCTTTTGTACTCAAATGTAATTATCTCTGTTATCTTTATTCACAAATCCTTGTATTATTATTAGTTCACTAAACTATTCGAGTATTTCCGTTAAATTTAAATATTTTAATAGTTGAATTCATGAGTCAATTAAAGCTAGACCATCATGGAAAACCTGGATACACTAGATAACCGTTTCATCCTCTCGTGGGATTCCTCAGCACTGGGCATCCACGATTGTGGATGGTGGTCTAGTTTCAATTGACTATAATATCCACAAAATGCCTCTCTGACTAGATATACTTCTTTCTAAAAGATAACTGTTATTTGTAGACTGCATTTGAAATGATACTTTCAATATGATTGAAAGCTCGAAAAGACAAGAAGATAAAGTTTAGATGTAAGAATAGTAGAATCAAGATCTAGAGTAAGATATAAAAAAAACGAATGCTTATTAATCAATATGATCGATTATGAGCCATGTCATCTAACATCTTGAACTACTGATCCCACTCAAATAGTTTACATCTCTTATGCAAACTATTCAAGTAACTACTTCTATGAATTCGGTGTTCATCTTGTTGTGCTAATGTGGTATGAAAACTCGAACTTATGCACATATATGACTGATCCTACGTTGTAGCTGACTGACTGACTGACTGACATCTCTTATGCAGTTCCATACAATACCCAATGACTTCATAGACTGATGTCAAATCTTGTTTTTTCCGCTTTTGGCTTTCTTCAAACTTATATTATCAACGTATAGGATCGTTAAACAAATACAAATACATAGTCATTTTCTCGAATGTTCTTCATTAGTTGATAAGTATCATCTATTTATATTGACTAGTAATTTGGTATTAAACGATTTTCATTAATGTTTTACTGTCTGGTCATTGGGAGTTATTCAAATCGAATGAAAAAGACACCAGTTTTTATTTAGACTTTACCAATAGTAGTAGGTAGTAATAGAAAGTTATTTGACTAAGTCATTAGGCATCTTTCTATTCAAGATGTTGTAAAGCATTTGAATGACATTGTAATGAAATTGTATCATTAACGCCCTTCAATCATCGGTGTTATATGTTATTTTTCTTATCTATTTTATACATTGAGGCATATCAGAAACTACAGTGAGACTGTTGAAAACCTTTGGAACGGGTGTTGCGCACAAACCAACAAAATCCCTACAATCAATCCTATGCAAACCAAAGGATGAAATGACAAAAGAAGACAAACCAAACATCATCTACAAACTATATTGTGCCAAATGCGAAAAACACTACATCGGACAAACCGGACGCCCTCTTCATGTTCGCTTGCATGAATATCAATTAGTAGTCAAACTCCATGACATAACCTCACTTATATCAATACACGTGAACAATTGCGGACACACATTCGACTGGAAAAATGTGGAAATCTTGAACAGAGGAAATTTTAAAAACACCAGAGAATTCTTAGAAGCTTGACACTCACATCAATCAACAATCAACAAGCACAATGAAATCGATCCAACTTATCAACTAATCAGAAAAAATTATACACAAATGTAGAAACAAAAACCATAACCAATGGGAGATACAACCAAAACAAAAAAGTAAACAATGACAGGCTTAAAGTCAACAAGAACCAGTCAAAACAGAGGTGTACAAGATAAGCTGTTAACCATATGCGGAGAAATTCGAACACTTCACTTCTATCTGAAGTTTGTTCTGGTGATGTCGTTCAAAAGAACGATGAAAGCTCTACGACCAAATCATCCAGCTCAGAGAACAAAACTCCATCAAAATATATATTATAGTTTATCAAGAAATTTGATATACTTCTTCATTCTTCAAGGAAATTAAAACGATAACCTGTAAGTGAACAATATCGTTTTCAAGTAGATCTTTACTAAGCTTTATGAATATATGAAAATAGTAGACTAATCAATGCAATTTATGAATCAACGATCAATAAATGTTTCCATTTATCTATATCTACAAATGTCAAAACAGTTCTACTGTATGGAGCAGAAACCTAGAGTCCTACGAAAGCGATTATTCATAAGATACAAGTGTTTAATAACAATTGTCTACACAAAATACTTTGGATCCGTTGACCAGACACTATCAGCAATAACATACTATGGGAGAAAATAAATCAGATTCAAGCGGAGGAAGAAATCAAGAAGAAGCGCTAGAAATGGATAAGACACATATTCAGAAAAACACCCAACTGTGTCACAAGACAAGCCCTCACATGGAATCCACAAGGCTAAAGGAAAAGAAAGGAACCAAAGAACACATTACACCGAGAAATGAAGATAGAAATGAAGAGAATAAACAACAATTGGATAGAACTAGAAAAGAATGTAGAGTGAGACAGAGTGAGTTGTAGAATGCTGGTCGGCGGCCTATGCTCCATTGTTAGTAACAGGCGTAAGTAAGTAAATAAAGTTATATATATTAGAGCAAAACCTAATGAGATGAGAATAAACCAACTTCCAGATAAAGAAAAAATTAGAAAAAGACTCTAGTAATGGAAAAGACATACATTACATTACAATCAGACAAACTCTAACTTAGAATCCTAAAGGGGAAGTGGAAAAGAGTAAAGTCAAAAAGCATATTACATCAAGAAATAGAATATAAATATGAAAAGAATGAATAATAACTATGAAAAGTACTAGAAATCATTACTTAGGACAAATTTGGATAAATAATAGTGATGAATGATAGATGCTCCTCCATAAGGAGTAACAGGCGTAAGTAAGTAAGTATACAAGATGAGAATTTCCCAATATAAAAGTACACTTATTCATATATAATAATAATAATAATAATAATAATAATAATAATAATAATAATAATAATAATAATACTATCCTTTAACTTACTAAAGAAATCCATGTATAACATAATGCACTTGTTTTAGCTATTTTTGCATGAAATGGTTTATGATAATGTAAACAATTTGATTTCTTTTGATGATTTCTTAATGATTTGTCTGTTTCATTCATTAGAATAATAATAATAATAATAATAATATTGGATTGAATAATTTGCCAAAATTTATGATCCTTTGAAGTGATTTTTTTTATTTTTTTTGGGGGGGGAAACAAAAAAGAATAAGGGTTATCTACTGTGCAAGATCATTCATTCAATCATTCCATTATTCATTCATTTGAAATCCCATAGATATTCAAGGTCATACTACGACGACGACTACTACTACTATTACTACTACTATTACTACTTTTATAGTAGTACCATTCGATGATAACCAATAATAGATCTAGTCAATATTGTATTGATATTTGTAAATGAACCAATCATCTATAAACATTAAATATGAATAATAATAATAATAATAATAATAATAATAATATCGATATTATAAAATATTGAAAATTATTGAATAATTGATTCAAGTTAGATAAATTTGAAAATATTGAACAATGGTTTCATTCTATTATGAGAGTCAGCTTCTGGAAGCTACAACGGAGATTGTCTAGGAACTCTAAAGGAGATGAAAAGTTTCTAGCCAATTAGAACATGAGGAAGTTTTTTTTTTAGAATATCAACGTGATATGTTACTATTGGTCAGTAGTACAATATGTCTTTTAGCGGATTGGTCAAAAAAATATAATGTTGATTTGATAAATGTTAATAATGTATAAATACATGTGTTTCTTTTTTCTGTAACATAATGAATCTATGGAGTAAAGTACTTTCTGCATACTTTGTTTCTTCTCTCTCATAGTCAGGTCGCTTGGGGCTTACCAGAATAGCTTAGGAAACGAGTATAGAGTTTAAATTGTTTATTTTACTTATTTTAACACATAGATATTGGTACAAGGAGGCACCAAATACATATACGCCACACAGATCTCACTTGATTTGTGTAAGGGCTGTGATACTGCACGGATGCCCAAACCGAAGCAGGTAGTTACCTTAGGGGGCCACACCCCGAGCCTTCGACCTGAAGATCTGATCCACAAGGCAGTGGAGCATCGTAAGGAGATGTAGCCCCATGGTAGCCGGTGACCAACGATTGGTTCATACGCCATTTGTTCCTTCAGGATACTGGAGCTAGCCCATGTGCACCATTGGTTTGGGGTCCGGTTAAAGCGCCGGACATTCGGTTTTCGTCCTCTCATTTTTGTAAACAACACCCCCGCCACGAGAAGGCAGTGAGTAGGACTTCCCTGGAGGAGGCTATATACGCGTGGCCATGTGAGAGCATTTCGAGAGGGTGAGTGGACTCTCCCTACTCTCGGCCGTACCAGGGCATTCGGGGGCAACGTTCAAATTGCAAGACTTATCAATATGTATTCATGATCCCTCCTTCATAAGAGATTTGAACTTAGAATACTTAACCTCTAGACCAATAAGCTGACTGGCATCTAATAGTGTGAATGTCTAACTTCGAATAATTCACAAAATTGAGCTAGATATTTACGATTGTCTTCAGTGGACACAGTTGAACTTCATGGGTCATGGTTTTTCATTAGAACTCTAGGAAATACCTCTTGAAACTAGTCACTAGTGAGCATATGTTGATTAATATCAGAAGGGGTTTTTCTGTGGATATTATATAGTGATTTTAATAGTTGAGTTTATGAGTCAATTAAAGCTAGACTACTATGAAAAACCTGGAAGTACTGAATGGACGTCTCGTCCTAGTATGGGACTTGTTAGTAGTGTACATCCATGATCTTGCTTGCGGGATTCGAACACAGGATCAGTTGGTTTTGGTAACATAAGATCAAGAGAAATACTTTTATTTACCTAAACAGTACTGAAGTGGATTACCATTACAAAAAATGTAATCATTAGTTATAAGCAAAGATAGATAATAGTTAACAGTGGAATCCTGGAGGCGTGTTTCGTCCTATTAGGGACTTGTCGGCTGAATGTAGCGTTGAGACTATAATTTATGGATGACCTTTGAGCGATACCAAAGTGACCTTGAGAATGTTCTCCTAATGACTAGGGCTAAATGAGGGTTATAAATCAGTTTAAGGAATTAGAATTATGATTTACATTTGATAGTTAGGGATAGGGATTAGATTTAGGGTGGATGGCCTATGCTCCTCCATGAAAGATGACATGCGTAAGTAAGTAAGTAAGTATTGTGCATCCCCTTCAATATACTATCTATACATATGAATACGCTTATTTCATCTTCGTTCTCATTGTTCAAAATCAATGGAAGTCATACTCTTCAATTGGTTTTATCACGAAACTTTATACATTATAATTTATTTCGTCAATTAAACATTTTCATTCATTTGTATGGTAAGTTTAGTAGGTCAATGTATATCATATTCATATCGTCTTTGTCACTTCAAAATGAACATGAATCGATTGATGTTAGGTCACCGTTTCGTCCTATTGTGGGACTCCTCAGCAGTAAGCATCCACGATACCGTCTTGCGAAACTCGAACCTAGGGACTTTGTTCTCATGAATAAACGCTTAATCTCTAGATCAGTGAGCTGACATCTAACAGTGTTAATGTTTAATTTCAAACAATCTATGAAATTATGTGATCATCTTTCAGTGTACTGAAGTAGATACTTGTCTCTACCTGACACAGATTAGTTACACTGGTCACGGCTTCTCACTAGAACTTCGAGAATTCCATCACATAGCTAGTCATAAGTGATCACATGGTAATCATCCGTATATATATATATATATACATGTCAGTTAGGGTTTCATCTACATTCAATGATTGTGTTCATTGAATTCTAATGAATTTCAATAACAACAACAACAACAAAATCGATCATTTTCATGATAATGTTTTATCATATGATGATCAAGTATGTAGTTGAATGAATAGTTACTTACGTAGTTAAATATATATAGAAAGTGGAATGAAGAGAACTTACAAAATGAATATATATAACCTGGAAACAAAATTATTATTAAAAAATATTCTAATATAATGACATCTTATTCATTAGAAGATATAGTTAATTCGATACATTGTTGTATCTAGGTAACTATGATTAATGAGAAAACAGTACAATAGATGAGATCAATTTATGATATAAATAAAAGTAGAGTAGACTATCCTAATCTCAATTGTATTTACCTTAATCTTGAATATTATTATAACGTTCAGTTTTACTTTGTTTACAAATATGGGACGTTAATTTATCTTAGATGAATATCTACCCTAAATCCCATCTCATTGTCTATTCTACAACACTTCAACACAATTCATATGATCAAGAACACGTGATTAGTCTGACTAGAACGTAGATATATTTCCATTATTCAAAACCGACACAATGTAACAACAATGAATAATCAATAATCAATAATAATAATAATAATAAGGATATGGGAATATATAACTCATCTAACACCTAATCAGACTATCTACAAGTCTAACTAAGCAAGAAACCAACCATTATCATTCTCATCTACATATCATATATTAAGTCATACATATCACTAAGATCTGTGTATTCATCTAGGCAAAACTTAGCTTATTGAAGATGAGAATGTTCTGTGGTTCTTTGTATTCAATCAATAATGATCACCTAAGTAATATCCATATATGATGGTAAAATGATTTAAAGGATACTGAAGTCCTCCAATATGTATTCGGTCATAGTGAGAATATCACTATTATTAAAATATCGATTTCAGTAACTTTATAGCAGCTCACATATAACTGAGTTGGTGCACATTTAATTTAGTTAAGCCCTTTTGTTAATTTATTTAACTGATAGAGTCATCCGTACGATAACAACTTATATCATTGTAGCTTTAGTATTGTAGTACTTGTATGAATAGGTAGGCTTGAGAATTGCTTATTGCTTACGCATGATAGCTTTACTATTAATCGCTTCATTGATTCGAGAATTCACTCATTTCCCTATGTATATATATGTACAGTTTAATCCTGCTCACTCACTCGCTTATGTACTTGCTTTTCTACACTACTCTTTCATGCTTCCTTGGCATACCTGTAATTTTGATTATCTGTGCATGGTGCAATAATAAACTTAATGAACACTTCGTATTCACCTTCTGATTTATAAACCATTGGGGGGGGGGAATTATCTAGTGACGGTTATCAAGACGAACTGTATACGAAGTTTAAAGATTATTATTGAATACTGACCACCACAACTTCTACGTAATTTCTAGATATGAATCACAGTGGTCTTTTGTTAAGCACTTAACAAAATGATAACATTACTAATTGTTATTACTGATGGGAAACTTTACAACTGAACAAAGACTAATATTGATCAACGCAAGAAAGAAAATAAGACTAAAGGTGATCAAAATGACATTAGAATTAGATAGATATATGTTATTTTGATTATCCGATCAATCGATAAATTGCAATTAATCGAACTAGTGGCCAGACTATAATTAATGGATGAACCAATCAGATTTAAGATAACATGTCTTGGCGCGAAATTCATTCATCCATTTGGATAAATAGAATTTTGGCATAATAGCTGATATTAGTTTGTGATGAAAACTCCGCTAAATCTAATTCCTAACTTTAATCATTAACTGTAAATCATAATTATAATTCTTCACATAGGTTTATAACCTTCATTTGGTCCTGGTTACTAAGTAGCCACTCTCAAGGTCAGTTTAGAGTCACTCATAGGTCCACGATAAATTATAGTCTCGCCACTAACTGAAAAACAAATTACACGTAATTACTGTATTACATAATTATTTTCGTTTTAGATAATTTTACTTAACGAATTAACTATTTAGCATAGATGAGACGATGAGTATATCACATGTTTAAGCATAATGAATGATGATGATACAGAACTGATATTTATTGATCAATTATAACTTCCTGATTAGGGCACTCAAGAGTATGAGAACATGAGAATTCATTAAACATGACTTATATTAGAATACAATGACAATTCTACTGTCACTTTCTATCATATTCTTCATAGAAGTAAAATGAACAGTCTGAACTGAAAGAAATAGATTTTGATTTTATTTCTTATCTTGGAAGT